CATGAACAATCAAGGTCACATTCAGATTCTCACTTTCAGTGGGGAAGGGAGGAGCTGCAGCTCAGGGCAGCATGGAGCTGACAGGATGGAGATGTCCCCTCCTGCCTGTCTGGACCAGGAAGGTTGGCTGTGGAAGGGAACGCAGGGCAGAGCAAGGAGCGGGTGGTGGTGTGCAGGGCTGGGCTGGGCTGTCCAGTTCCTCACACTGAGCCCACAGAATCACAGGAAACATAAAGAGAACTGAGGGCTCTGGACATCACAGGAGGGACCTGAACACATCATCTGTCACGGTTCCCTCCAGGCAGCTGTCTTCATGCTAGAGAAAGCGAGTCATTAACAGTCAGTATGAAGACAACATCCAACAAACTACCCCTCACTCAAAGGAGAGTCCAGAAATCCCTGATTCTCAGTCATGTCCACTTTGCCCCTCCCCAAATCAGATCCCAGAGTGTCACCTCTACAATCTGAGAGAGACACATCAGAGTTCTGAGTGCTGTTACTCCCTAGGGAAAAAAAAATACATATATATATACATATATATATATACACACATACACACACACACACACACACACACACACACATATATATATATATAAAATATAAATATATATTTCATTGCAAGGTACAACCCAGACCCCCAGAAGATTTAGATGCAGGAGCTATTATGGTCTGGCTGAGCTCCCCATCATCTCCAGCTTCACCCCAAGGGCCTCAGGGACAATCCTGCTCCCACACTTACCTGGAGCTGGAGCATAGTCCCCTCCTTTTCCACCTGTGAGAAGAAAGGCCATGAGAGACCAGAGAAGACCCCGGCCCTAGGAAGTTTCCAGAACTGAGAGCAGACCCAGTTAGAGACAGTAGCAATGAGGGTGTGGATGTGTTTCCATTAGTGAGCAGAGCATACTTCTAAAAGTGCTGAGAGAAAACCCAGACCCTGCCCTCTCCTACCTGTGTTTCTCTTCCTCTTCCTCACAACAGCCACCACAGCTCCAATGATGACCACAGCAACAAGGACAACCAGAACAGCAATGACTGCCATGATGGGGACAGTGGGCTGAGGAGGCTCTGGGAAGAGAAGGGCAGGAAGGGAAGGTGAGGGTCATGACTGCAGCTCTCAGCCCCGACCTGCTCAGGGTCTGCACAAGGCTCCAGGTCTCCTGACCCCAGCTCTGCACCCACAGACTCCTTACCCCAGCTCTTCACCCACAGCTTCTTTACCCCAGCTCTGCACCCACAGCCTCCTTACCCCATCTCAGGGTGAGGGGCTCAGGCAGACCCTCATGCTGCACATGGCATGTGTAATGCTGCTCCTTCCCAGGAGGCACCACCACAGCTGCCCACTTCTGGAAGGTTCCATCCCCTGAAGGCTGGTCTCCACAATCTCCATGTCCTGGGTCAGGTCCTCCCCCTCCAACTGCCAGGTCAGGCTGATGTCAGCAGGGTAGAAGCCCAGGGCCCAGCACCTCAGGGTGATGTGACCTTGAGGTCTGGTGTGATGGGTCACATGTGCTTTTGGGGGATCTGTGCAGAAGATTCAAAATTTTTCACAATTAAGGGGCTGGAGAGATGGCTCAGAGATTAAGAGCTCTGCCTGTTCTTCCAGCGGTCCTGAGTTCAATTCCCAGCAAATACACTATGGCTCACAATTATCTACCATGGGATCTGATGCCCTCTTCTGGCATGAAGGTATACATGCAGATCGAGCACTCATTCATAAAATAATGTTTTGTTTTTAATCCACAATTTACAAGGTAAAGTGAAATCTGCAAAGACAAA